TGTGGTATCTTTTTTTAAACAAATTAAAAACCATTCTTCCCTTCCATATATTTGGGGCATATTGGGGGGGGGGGGGGGGGGGTACAATAGATCAGATTGGTCGAACGCGAAGATTTTTTAACTACTGTACTCTTTGACTGTGCGACTCAACTTGACCGTCGCGGTTGCTCTTTGCGGTAGAGCTATTGCATGCTAAGGTATGGTTCATTTGTTTTTGCTGTGGTGATAGATGTACATAGACCAGTCGTCCCGGTTCAACTGTACCTATAGAGTTTTTCTGGCGTAGAAAATTCGTGACGTACGCTTGGAAAGTGCATAGCAAACACCAAAGTGAGGCAAAGAACCCCTCAACCCTGCTTTTATCGCGTTTAAAACTGAGGGTCGAGCACCGCAGGGGGAAACGGTGGTGAAAGAAATGATACAATGTCCAGTGTTGGCCTTCCTCCTGCGTGACACCTGCTGGTGTACAAGAGACTGGCGCCGGAATAGAGATCAAACCCACGCCCACCATTTTGTCACACTGTTCTTTTCATTTTTTTTACCTCGGTTTCTTTATACCTCCCATCACACGAAGTACCTTCCTCTCCCCCCTGGTTCCGCCCTCTCCCTGTGTATGTTCGCAGAACAAGGACACCAACACGGGCGATGAGAAGCTGACCGCCAAGCAGCTGGGAGACTACTACACCAAGATGACCGAGGACTTCCCGATCGTGTCCATCGAAGACGCGTTTGACCAGGTTCGGCTATTTTTTTTTTTTTTTTTTAACGAAGCACCACAATGCAACGTCTTGAAGATGACGTTGCGTACGAGTTCTGTTGCTGTTGGTGGTCGTGATGTCGTCGTCGTGGTCAGCCTTGACTTATTTTGGTTGCAGGAAACATCCGCCTACTTAACATGACCCTTTGACCAGGCTGGACGTTTCTTCTTCCTTTTCGTCCTAGATTGCAACCTCCGAATGCTGCTGCCGGGAATTAATCTAACCCACCCGTGGTTTCATCCCGTTTTTTTTCATTCTCGTGTTTCGTTATTGAAATGCGCCACCTACGACGACTCACCCCCCGCTGTCTCCCTCCGGCTAGCAGTCGCTGCTTCCTTCTTCCTTTCTCGGAAACCAAAGAAACGATCTCTTTATTGTTTTTCGCTTTTTTTGCTCTTGTCAAAGGACGACTGGGCAGGGTGGATCGACTTCACGGGTAGCGTGGAGGACAAGATCCAGACTGTGGGTGATGACTTGACGGTGACGAACATCAAGCGGATCAAGAGGGCCGCCGACGAGGGTGCCTGCAACGCCCTCCTCCTTAAGGTGCTGCCTGGAACACATGCCGTTGTATTGCAATATTATTGTGATCGCTGTTTTGGCGTCATCGCCGTTTTGTTGTCGTTGGTTGTCGGGTTGATCCGCTGCTTGCTACATACCTACCGCGTTGTTGTCTTGAGAATGGTGGAAAATCGACTAAGGTACGCAACCCTCTTTCGCTTTTCACCGCTGTTAAGGCGATTTTCGTGGGTACTTTTTCGATGGTCGATTGAAAGGTTGGCACGGAGAGTGCACGGTGTCGACATTAACCGCGAAATGATCGTGACGTTATTTTCATTGGTGTGCTAGACCGGTTGCTCGAGAGGACATGGGACGTAAGCGGGATGCAAGGAAGCGTAGCGACGGTGTTACGTAGATTGTGTGCAGACCTAGTTGTCCCTCTCGTGCACTGGGCAACATGGTCCGCTTTCACTCAGGGCGAATTTCGCCGGGTCACATTCTCTCGTGAACTGTCACAGCAAACGTGTACCTGATACACGTCCTCCGCTGCTACCTCCGTCTCTCTCTCCCTCTCTCTCCCTCTTTTTTCTCTCGTTCCCCATCTCGTTCCCCCGTCTCATTCTCCCGCTATCTCCGCCTGTTATTGTCCTCGCTCCGAACCTCCGTCGCCGTTCTCGTACCCGCACAACAGGTGAACCAGATCGGATCCGTGTCCGAGTCTATCGCCGCCGTCAAGCTTGCCAAGGAAAACGGCTGGGGGGTGATGACCTCGCACCGGTCCGGGGAGACGGAGGACAACTACATCGCCGACCTGGCGGTGGGCCTGTGCACGGGTCAGATCAAGACGGGGGCCCCTTGCCGGTCGGAGCGCCTCGCCAAGTACAACCAGGTTTGTTTTTGTTGCGGTTGGTGGTGGTATGCATATGTAGTGCTGGCAATGTTTAAGCCGAGCCAAGCACAACCAGGTTGGTTGCTGTTGGTGGTGTTTGTGGTCGTGGGGTGGTTGTGGTAGTGCTGACTGTGTTGTAAGCCAAGCCAAGTACAAGCAGGTTGATTGCTGTCGGTGATGTTTGGTGGTGGTGGTGCTGACTCATGTTTAAGCCAAGCCCAAAAGGTCCAACGACAGCGGCAGTCCTGCAACTGCTGTCTTGCTGTTGCCGTCGTTTGAGCCGTCGCTGTTTGTTTCGTGCGCGGACCGGACGAGCTCGATTCCTGTACGGTTCGTTGGGTTCACCACCTATGTCTTGGGTCTTCAGGGTTGTCCTGGCCGATCCACTGCGAACCCGTGCGCTTTTCCCTTCAGACGTCTCGGTGCTTATCCGCGCCAATTTCGCGTGGACTTTGTGTACCCGGTTGCAGAGAGGTTGGAATCTTAATCTCACTCGTTCCCCTGCGGTTGCCTCTCCATAGAACGTGGATATTGAAGCTGTACCCGTATGGCTCATACTTGCGTTCGACGTGATCCTTTTCGTCGAGAAGGGAAAACAACGGGTGGCATTACTGTGGTTTTGTTTTATCTGACCCCAGCCTTGACTATCTGGTCACCCCCACCCCAACCCCTTCCTAATGAAGCTTTTGCGGATCGAGGAAGAGCTCGGCGACAAGGCCGTCTACTCCGGACAGAACTTCAGGAAACCTAGCTGGATGGCGTAAGGGTTTCGCTCCGTCTAGCCGGCTCGGTGCCGGAGGTGTTGGGGAGTTTTCTCACACCCAACACACAATTTTGTTGCGTTAGGGAGGGGGTGTGGTTATCCGGGAAAACGAACCTGGTCACCGCCTACGCTCGTCTCTATTTTCGTGTTTGTGCTCGCTGGGGCCCCTTAAGTTCTCGCGCGTAAGGTTTGCAAAGTCACACCTTTTCGCGACGAAAGGTGTGGAAGGTGGTATTTTCTTGTCAAGGTTTTTGGGCGTTTGTGCAATATGACATGGTAAATGGGTTAATTGGTGGCAGAGAAGGACGGTGCTGTCGGTGGTATTAGTATTTTTTGGAGGTTTGAGCATTCCTCGACTTTGCAAGGCAGAAGAAATGCTCGGCGTCTGTCGCCCAGTCTGTAGCCGCCGTTCGTTGCTGTAGCTCTTCCGTGGGAAATCGTCACACACGAGTTTGCCCCCCTGACATCCATGGTGCGGCGCCGATTCACAAAGTACAGAGAGAGTCTGCTTGCTCCCGGGATGATTCGGATATCCAGGCCTCAGCTCGTAGTCAGTCTCGTTGCCCACTTTTGCGGTTGGTGGGCCCCGTCGAATGGTTGGGTGCACACGTTGGCTCAAGAACAACCACCGCACGCATCGTGGGAAGGTTTCATTTGTAGATTCATCATGTATGGTAGATGGTAGAGTTTAGAGCCTGAGCCTCAAACGCCGGCCTCATGGTCAGCGGATTGGTACTGCTGTGAGGGGCTATGTCTCGCAGAGAAGCAAATTCTCTGTAGCGTGTGGTGCGAGAACGAAGTGTTTTCTGGTTGGCAGAGTCAGTCATGGATCAGCAGGCTGTGTACAGGCAACTCGGGACGTGCCACCCACTTTTCGCATGCCTCCCCATGCCAGGAGTGAATGATACTATCTCAGTAGACCTTTCTTTTTCTCTCTCGCATGCCAACAACTTGGACTCTTCAAGACTGAGCACGTTTCCACTCCGACGGCCCCCGTATCGTGACGGAAAATGAAATCTTGATGACCTTTGCCCCAAATCTACACACGGCAAAACGCCGGGGATCCTTTGTGGTGTGGAATCACGTCGCTATCGCTGGTTAAATGTGACAAACAGAGAGACATTGAGGGCTCAATCAAGGAACTAGGGCGAAGCGGGGGTCAAAGCCGGAACCACAAACCGCTTGCTACCAAGCACAGCTCCTTTGACCCTAGACACGATTGTAGTTGCGACACTGGACACTTTCCAAATTACGCTGCTAGCGCCTGAAACGACATCGGTTGAGGTACGACTCCTGCTCCTCCCAGCGTGCAGCTGGACGTTGAAAACGAACCATACGGGCGGTGAGAATCCATACGGAATGCCGAAAAAAATCAACGGTGCTGTCGCTCCATAGGTCGTGAAAAGGCAGATCATGAGAAACGCGGTCAACAGGGACACAACGAGGCAAAAATACAACGCAAACTTGATGTTCTTCCTCGCTGCTTTCAAGAGCGGTAGTGATCCTACCGTTCCTGCCACTATGCTGTTACTCCTCTCGGAACGCTCCACGGTGTTACGCAAATATTTGTTCACAGTTCGCAAAAGGGCAGTACCGCTCTTCAAGATGATGAAGTCGCAGAATACGATCAAACCCAGAAACGCTACCGCGGAGACCTTGCCGGCCGCTTGCAAACTCTTAGCCACTGCTAGGACAGTTGCAATGGCAGGGCCTACACACATCACAGTATTGGACACAAAGCACCCTGTCGGCCGTTCTAGCGCTTCCGATATCGCCAGTATTTCCGGTGTCTCTCGGGTCAGCCGGGGATCGTTGCTAGCAAGAAAAAGTGGTTGGTAGCGAAGAAGGTAAACATACGGGAAACGATTGGTTGTAAGGGGAGTGTTGCGCTTCCGATGTCAAGCTGGGAGGCGAATCACATCATCAATCATCAGTCATCATTCGGATGACACATGATTGATACCGGACGGAGAAACGAGGAGCTGGACACGGTTTGGAGTGTGGTCACAAGCTGTCCGGTGGAAGGAAAAGGAGCGTGTGCGAAAACGTATGCGTCAGGCATGGAGGAGGGGGGGTTGCTGGAATATACCCTTGACAAAATATTTTCTTGATGAAACAAACAATTCGATAACCTGAGAACGAGAGTATCTTTTGCAACCCGGCACTCACCAGTAAATCCACATGCGCACGGTCAAAATACCGCCGATGGTCATCATGGTTTGGCCTGCGCTCAACATGAAGATGGTCGACATCCACAGTCGCTCGCTGTCCAGCAACAGCACCATTCCAAAATAGCATAGGCCGATGACGGCGTGGATAATCACGACGATATGAAGCCATCTACGACATTTCTCTACCGAGGAAATGGATGCCGTGATGACCTGTCTGTGATGTTTGACCTGTTCGTGGACGGGGCGAGGGAGAACGTTCATCTTGTTGCTTCCTGACACAAACATGTGGTTTAGATTAAGGTGGCGGAGCACTTTCAGGTTGTTAACACAATCTAGCAAGCTTGCTACTTTGGCAAACACACAAACAACACGTAGATGTCACACTTCCGAGTGTTCTCTCACTCCCCCCAAAATTCAGTGGTGAGTGATACAGTTGCGGAGATACCCGCAAGTGAGTTGACACTGTGGGGTTGCGGTGGGAACATGCGGGTTTGGCTGCATTGAGGTTGCTTCGTCCTCTCGACCGAGCCGAAACTAATCGATTAGTTTAAGCCCGTACCTCCTGCGGTCAGTTCGTTGTGCGATAATGTAGGGCTATGCACGTTGGGGATTCAATCCCGAGAGAAGGGTGTAAGGGAGACTCTCGACCGAACACACACGGAATGTGAGGGTAACGAAGAGAGTGAGTGGAGTTCATCAATCAATCAATCTGAAAACCCTCCGATGATGTCTCAGACTCTTTTCTATGATAGAGAGAGATGGATTCGTTGTGTCATGTTAAGAAAAAAAAAAAGCGCACGCAAGATGGCCTCAGGGGTGCGGTGGTGTCCAAAATGTTCAAAGCATCCGAGCTATGGATATCACTACAATATACAAGTACACATTTCCCGCAAATTTCTGCAAGGGGGGGGAGCTCCCACCTGCTGCCATCATGATGACCAGAGTTATGTGTCGACTCTGAAAAACTCCAGTGAGTCCAGCATCCAGCAAGCGCCACTAAACCTCAAACACCCCCCTCAAGGACTATTATTTAGTTAGGTTGGGGAGTCCTTCTTGATACTACGGTGTGTGTCTAACAAACAAAGGGGGCACCGTTGTACGTGGCACCAACAGGAACGAACAATCAACCATGGCCCAACGTCATGGCCAACGTCGACGTGGCGGACCCACTACATGTATGTCCCTGTCGTGATCCGTTTTCCAATGGGTATTTATGCCTTGTGGAATGGGACCTTATTGGCTATGGCCACCCACCTGGCGATAGAGTTGATATGCTGAATGGCACAGGCTTGTCGTCGCCATGAGCACCCCAACTGTGCCGAAGACCACGTGTGCCTTCGACGGAACACAGGATGGCAGCCCAACAATGTTGTACTCTGACCATGTTTCGTTTCCGCAAGCACACCTACAAGCACCATCCGCACCAACCGTGGAGATCCCAGTCCCCCCCCAGAGGATCGTTTGGCAGTCTTGGCCACACATACAGATGCTTCCAATACAAATACACAGCAGCAGCGGTCCAGCGGTGAAACGCTAAGTTTTCGGTATAGGACAGGGTTGTTTCAATCTTAAACGTTTGCTCTTGAGGCGTAGACAAAGGCGAACAAAACAAACCGAGGTTGAATTGCCATACTGTTACTGTTTATATTGGGGTACCCGATCGTATGTCGTACTTCGGGGCCCCCTCGGTCGAGAGGAGTCGCATGCCATGTGTTACCATTCTGTTCAAGCCTTGTGTCCACAGAGTCTTAGCGTGCCAGAGAGAGAGTACCACAGAGACAACTAGCGAGGTGATCACATAGAAGGCTTCTAGTGGTGTGCCAGCCTCTGAAGCTGACAGGAAGTGGAGTATTTTCTTGCCTCCTCTTCAGCTGAGAAATCGGGCTACCCGAGCTACAGCAGTCGTAACTGAGAACCCGGGGTCCCCAGATGACGAGAGCGGAGAGGAGAGCAAGGATGCCAGGCGCCGGCAGGCGTGGCATCTAGGGCGCAACACTGAGCGGTACGTGTGGTGATGTGATGACAATATGGGAGAGAGATGATGTGGTAAGAGAGCAAAACCCACAATGTGTTTTGGTGTGTCAAGGAGAGACACAACCCCAACTGAGTGTTCTGCACGTTTGCATGGGGACAGAGATCCCGCTGCTGCCGTGGGTTGATTCGGTGGCGTACCCAATCACCCATGTCGCACGCGATTCAATGACTAAACACATCAACCGGGTTTGGTGGCCGAGGCTAGTGGGCCTGCTTCGACAGCGCTGGCTGTCACGGCTGTTGCCACCGTACGAAGAGTACGCAGTCATCTGGATCATGTATGCACACACTTCAAATACAGCAGTTGTTCCGCATCGATGCGGGAGAGAAAAGTAACTGTGGGTTCTGCGGCGTTGCACTCACCATGTTGAACGTGGTTTCAATACCTGCCCCGCATCTAACGAGTGTGTGGTGGCCACAGCCAAGCAAGGCAATACCCACAAACTATTGTTGTTTGGTGTTTTGTACATACACGAATGCTGGATCACATGGTGTGCTGTAAACGAGTGTATCACATGGACTAATCTGGCCTCAGATATGCGTTGCAGTCGTTTTGGATCACATGGTGTCCTGTACACGAGTGTACATGGGATAATCTGGCGTCAGATTTACGCTGCAATCGTTAAAAGCCAGAGATTATGCAGTTGCCAGTGAAGTATGTGGACGATACTTACAAAATAACAATATACACAATTGTTGGAGACTTGCCGTGAGAATCGAGGCCCGATTCGACGGAATACGTTAACTTATGTGACTGGGTTTTCCCTGGATCTTCCGAGTTTTTTTTTTTTTCTCAACTGGGCGAAGAGACCGCTGGCATCATCAAGGCTGTGGAACACACATACTTGCACTTTCAACCACCGTCTCCCGTTCTGTACACACCTACTGGTATCTCCCACATGCACACGAACGAGTCCACATCAGCACGGTCGCATCCACACGCCACCCCCTTGCTCACACAAACCTTTGGTACATATGTAGCAGCAAACAAACACACAACAGGGCTCTCATCGGTGACTGCTGTAGGTGCTGGGCGTGAACTGGGGGGCTCGATCGAGAGACGCAGACACATTGTCTCCACCCCGCACTGCTGCTGCTGTAAACTGAACATGGGCATCCACATGACATAGCTCTAGTATTATCACTGTCCGCCCGCGGCCGAGGCAGCATACCCCGCCCGCGAGGCATGGCACCTCCTAACGTTCCACTTTTAGTGCATGTTCGTTGGGAGCGACGAGATATGTCCACGCACGAACGAATGTGAAATCGGGAAAACCCGAAAAAACATCCAACCGTCGGCTGCACACCAGCAGCAGCCGCAGCAGCAGCCGCAGCAGCAGCCGCAGCAGTAGCAATAGCAGCAGGCCTCGTGGTATGACTTTCGGTTGAAAAGAGACGACGAGATGCACACGTAGGGGGGACCCGGCGAGAGGCATCGCAAGGTGGGCCCTTACTCCTGTGCGCCAGCGATAACTTGAAGCAGAATGCACTTGGGCACAAAACGAAGAAAAGTCTGAAGTATGCAACCAAATGCTGTGTGTACGAATCGCAAAATAACGCATTATCGGGTCAAATAGAATAAAATCGTGCTATATTATATATTTATACAAGGTCTCCCTTCGGGACGTGGGTGTCTACCCTCCCTCAGGTGACGCAAGACCACATGCGCATTGCCCGAAGAGGGACTGTGTGTCTTACAACGCTTGTATTTCCGCACAAAACATCGCGCACGTTGTTATTCTACATTGGAGTCAGCTCGAGCGGACAATATTTTGGCAGCGAAAACTCAGACATCATGTCTTGATTGATGATGGCAGGTTTCCGATGAGAACCGAATTTGAAGCCGAAACAACGCCACAAATTGGACATGTTCAACACTGCGGCTGGATGCATGCTCTCAGACTTGTCTACACTTGGCCCGTTGCGAAGTGTAGTAAACGTAGGTACTGCTGTTGGACAATGCGATGACACGAAGAGCCACAGCCATGAATCATCGAATGAATGAATGAACGAATGGAAGTGGAGAAGAAAGAGGCAAATATTTCAAACCGTCCTATTTGATGGGTTTGATAGGTTTCAGAATTGGTTCGCCAGGCTTTGTCAGCGCGGAACGCGTCCCCGGGGTTTTGAGCCAGTTTTCGCAACTTTGGCCGTCAACCACACGCGCCACGGAGGCCTACCAAACTCTGGGCACCGGCGATAATGTACCGACGAGCCTCCTGCATGCCCCTGAGAAGGAACCGCGAGAAAAGACTCGCTGCCGCGAGAGAAAGAAACGCCGAAGCAAGAAAAGTGACCAAGTCTTATATGTACATGTACTACAGATAGACAGGGACATCGGAGCTGTGATGGAAGCTGTAGTCCCGAAAACCCTTGCCATTGCGAGCGAAAAGTGGCCGGCGACGATACTCTCCTTGCCGCTCCTACCTCTCTGCCTTTAGGCACAACAGCAGCAGAAGTAACCCAATCACCACCATCATCATGGACCCAGAGGAAGTTGCTCAGTTTTGGCAGCACATAGCAGACCAATGGCATCCAGAGACGGCTTCACGTGTTGTCTGGGATGAGCTGCTGGCCATCGCGAACTCCACGCCAGACCAACTTCCCGACGCCACGGCTGCTGCAGCCCGGGCGGTAGGACCGCGCTACTGTCAACACGAAGCAACAGAGCCGCAGCCCCTACCCGAGACCAGGAACCTTGCGTCCGTCTCTCACAGGTTTCGATGCTATCGTTCGTTAGCTCTCCGTTTTTCCCCAAAGCACTGGAGTACACTCTGTAACCGACAACCCGACTTCCATGTTTTTCCTGCCCACAACGTGCAGGCTTCGTTCGACACGAGCATTCAGATGAATGCAAGGGGTCGTGGCGTGCAGATCACGAGGAGTGACTGCTTCACGCAGGCGTGTCGCGCGGTGTGGCCGGGGGATGAATTCCGTGCCAGCGGCCATTGCGGACGCCTTCCTGTCGTGATATTTGAGGGTGTACGATAGGCTGCTCATGGGGCGTGAGGGATGGGGTGTGTGCTGGACGACGTCTTACTTACGAGGATTTGGAAGATTTGCTCGCCGATATGCATGTACATGCCGTGGTTTTCTTGTATGGCTGGTTGGTTCCGGATCGAGCAGACCGTCGGGGATTGTGCGTGGTTTGCCGGGCGTCTTGTCTCCGCATGTTGTTGAGTTCGCTGGGCTAATTTCGATAAATGGTGCCGGAAAGGCACGCGTCGGTGAAAGTAGCGGTGGTGCATTCGACAAATAGCATTGGCAAATAGCATTGGCACATTTTGTAGTCACACCCGTAGGAGGGCGTAGACATGTGTATGTCGAGGTCAGCGTGGTGTGGAAACGAAGACAACGAAAAAAAAAACTCTTCTGCGTACGCATGGCTTCCTCGCGTGGAGGGAGCGTCTTATTCGCACAATTGGATTTCGATGGCGCTCGCGGTCTCCGCAATATCTGTCTGTGTATTGAGACACCACCATCGCACTATTGGATTCGATGGCGTTCGTGGTCTCCGAAATACTCGTGTATTGAGGCACCATCGGTGTGACACCATCGGTATGGCGTGTGTGTCACGTTGTTGGGCGAAAGGAAAATCGCACGCAGCCAGAAAAAGAAATGTGTCAGTTAGTCGTTTCGTAGATGCGAAAGACAGACCTCTTGCGATGCAATCTGCAACTCTTGCAAACTCTTGCCTCTTATGGCCAACGTGGCTGTCAACCAAACCTCGGATACCGGCGACAACCCAAACACAGACATGTAGTTAGGTTGTTGACAACAAAAAAACATACGTGTGGACGTCAAAACGTGTCCCTGTAAACAAACGACAACACAAATAATAAATAGTACAGTAGGCAACACTGGAAGCCTGCCAGGGGACCTACAGTTGACAATTGAAAAGTAGAATCTCCCATAAGGTGCCCCACAACAAACTCTCCGCTGCATATATCTCGGCGGATACGTAGGACCCCAAGGAACAAGTGCTTTCAGGCGCACGAAGAGGCCTAAACTTTGTCCGTTCAACAACGGGGAAAGGGGGACACGCCGACAAGATTGGTTAATAGCCTGGACGACAGTTATCTGACCGCAACGTGGTAGGGCCGTGGTAAAACCAAAGAAAGGTCGGGAAACAACCGAATGTTCTACCCCGGTGGTCTAGTTGGTATCCTCGAAAACTTTTAGAGGTCAGGTCAGGGGTTCGAATCCCGGCGTAAGCGAGCTTTTCTTGCAAAGTGAGTTTTTCTCTCGTTTCCGCTCCTGGCTTAGTGGATAGTACACAGAGGGAAGAGAGTACTGAACTCTTCTCGCATTAAAAATCGAAGGCAAAGTACCGCAGGAGGAGAAGGTAGAGAGGGGCTCTTCTGTGTGACCACGAGATGGAGTAAACGGCACTAGTGCTGTTAGCGTTGGTTTGAAGTGAAGACAAAGAAGTGTGGAGGACACCTGTCAGGAGTATAACCAACCATGTTTGCACATACAAAGTGTAGGGAGATATGGCTCCGTCGGGGTATCTTG